TTGCGGCGGCGGCCACCATCATCATCGTCGCCACCCTTGCGGCGGCGGCGGCGGCCACCATCATCATCATCGCCACCCTTGCGGCGGCGGCGGCGGCGGCCACCATCATCATCATCACCCTTGCGGCGTCGACGGCCCCCGTCTTTGTCATCGTCATCCTTGTCGTCTTCTGGTGGCGGCATGGGGTAGCCTGGAGGAGGAGAAGGATACGGGGTTGTGGTCTCAGGTTCGGTGGTGGTCATGTCATCATCATCGTCCTCTGTAGTGGTTGGGTAATACTTCTCGGTGGTCGTGGTGGTGGAAGTCGTAGTAGTGGTGGTGGTCGTGGTGGTGGTCGTGGTGGTGGTGGTGGTGGTGGTGGTGGTGGTGGTGGTGGTGGTGGTGGTGGTCTGATAGTACTTTTGCGTGGTAGTGGTGGTCTCAGTCGGATCGCCATCTGGCCCACACGAGTCGCAGAAGTGATCCAAGGCATCCGCAATGTCGTCCACGCAGGCCATGCACTTCTCCTTGCATTGTGTGTCGACAGGTTTGTGACCGTCTTCTTTGCCTAACAAAGCATTGCAGAAGCCGTCGCAGACATCCTCTTCACTGAGGCACCCCTTTGAGACATTGACCTGGGTTGCCATGAGCTTGGAATTGCCGGACCGGGGCTTCTGCAGCAAGCCGGTCGCCTCCGATTCCTGGAGGAAGCAAATGTCCCTGGAGCAATACTTGTGAGTGGCAGCGATCATTTTCTGGACAATGTGCTGGTTCCGACGGTTGTGGCTGGCGCAGTGCTTCGAAACGCACTTGCTTGCCTTCATGCCCGGAAGCATTCCAGCGTTGCACACCACCCGGCAAGCCCATGTAGAGTGATCGCACACCTGCTCATAGTCTGGCACCGCAACATCGCACGTGCCGCTGGCAGAGGCACCCGATAGGCACGAGATTAGGAGGAGGATTTCGCGCTTCATGGCACCGATGTCCCAGGAGCTTCTTCAAAGCCTCCCCAGATCTCTTCTTATTGATTGGAGGCAGCTTCAGCCAACATGGCGACAAGATGTTCAGGATGAGCCCATTCGGTTGAGGATCCACATCGCATGACGTGATCAATGTCACAACATGAATCTGACAGGGCCGCCAAGGGTCACAAAGAGGTTTGCGCAGTGTAGGTGCTCTGGCACGCACGAGACGAGCGATTCGTAGAGCTCCTGTTGCGGGGGGCGTGAGTTATTACGAATTACCTACACCCCCAAACTATGTAGCATAATAGCCTATTAGAGGTTTGGGGCCATTATTTTACCTACTTTGGTGGGTTTAGGTAAGGGTTTGTGGGGACTCTAAGGTGTGAGGACTTTGGATTTCGCACTGCTGCTCTGGATTTCGAAGACCCTGGGGCATCCCGGAGTTAAGACCTTCTATGCCGAACCGGCTTGAATTCGGAGATAACCTGAACTGCGCCATTACGGAGTATCCGTGGTGTCTGTGTTGCGGGATTCGGATTCATGTTTTGGCCTTTTCAATGATTGGAGTTAAAATTTCTCTGCTGGTTTTGCTTAGGACCTGCGTCAGACATGACGAAACGAAACCTTTGCAACAAACCACATAGGCGCATGCCGTCGTAAGTTTCGAATGGTTCATGGGGCTGCCTTAACCTACCAAAACCTGCCTGTTTGCTAGAGTCCCCATAAATTCGCGATTAAGGTCCTAGGGTTTACACAAACAAGGACCCACAACAAAGGCAGGTTACGGAGTTTAAGGTGGGGAGTACAGTTGCGTAGGACCAGGACCAGGATTCCCGACTCTGGTGTTGAATGTTGGAAGAAGCTATAAAGGTTTGGGGGTTTAGGCCCAAAAGGAACCTGAAGAAACGAAGCCAAGTACAGAAGTCTGACTGAATAACTAGATTATCGGGTTTTTGGAGGGTGTCCGCACCAAAATGTGCACATCTCTGTGAGGAATGAGCCGTAATCGTCCTAAACCCTGATCACGGAGCCCAAACTTACTTCAACGTCCTAAGCGCTAATATACGGGCCTTAATAATTAGAACAGGATCCTGGGGCCCATTTTACTATGATTATGATAAGGAACCTTAACAGTAATATTGGCAAGTATTTGGGCCCCTACATTAAGCTGAGATTGTTGAATTTGGGGTATCGGGCGTTGCCTGCGACGGCCCAGGTTTTGACTCTACAGACGTAACTTGCCTTGACTTCCAAACCCCCATTAGGGTTTCGGATGGTTTCGGGTTTGGGGTTTAGGGCCGTTTGGGGCGACCGGCGACTCCAAAATTCTTCTCCGCAGGGTGCACAAATAAATTTGGAGTACACGAGAGCTTTGCTTGCCTCTTTGCCTCCTTCTTCTATTCTTCCGGGCTGGGCTGCGAGGGTTGGACCGGACGATGATGAAGGGTCTAGTAGGGTTTTGGGCTAGGAAAACTTACCAACCCCCAAAACCCTATCCTTAAACACTAAATCCTAAACCCAAAGCCCTGAACCCTATAAGCCCTGAACCCAAAGCCCTAAGCCCTAAACCCTAATCCCCAAGCCCTAAGCCTAAACCCCAAACCGCTCCTCCGGCATGGCGGCTCTGGCATAGTGTTGTACGAGCTCTGTCTCGTAATACCTGCCACCGCTACGGTAGGGCCCTGGCAACCCATGGAATGCCCCCAAAACTCCCTGCAAGCCTTAAGCAGAAACTCTAAACACTTAAACCCAAAGCCCTAAGCCCTAAACCCCAAAGCTCTAAAGCCGCAGGAAGGTCCATTCTAGCGGGCTTTTGGCTCGGGCTTCTTCACTGTTAGGCCGTTCGGCGTTTACCTAGACCCCTTCCTGTTACGGGATCCTAACCAGAGAATTAATAGTTCCCCGAAACCCTAAACCCTAAAGCCGCAGCCCAACAAAAACCCTAAACCTCATCTTAAGACCCAACAGAAAACGTGGAAGGATAATTCAACTTTATATAAATGCGACACCCTCGAAACCCTTAACTCACAACCCTACATCCCAAACGACCCAGATAGTAACCCCTAGAGCGACCTTCTGCAACAACAACCGCCTGAACAAATCAGAACAGAACTTTGCGGACTGTCATACTGAATATACCGTGCCTACATTATCTGGTCTGGGAAGCCGACAGAACCGTATTGCTAATTATTCATGCCCCCTATATAAATCTGCAAAACGAGCGGCTCCATTAGCCCACCTGCATCTAGGTCTCGCCAGCGCCAGTGGACCTTCCCCCAGTCGAGTCTTAGGATTTAAGGTTTGAGATTTTGTTTAGGGCTTAGGGCTTTGGTCTAGAGCTTAGGGCTTCGGGTTTAGGGCTTAGGGTTTCGGGCTTATAGGGCTTAGGGCTTTGGGTTTACAGGACTTAGGATTTAGGGTTTTAGGCTTAGGGTGTAGGGCTTCGGGCTTGGGGTTTAGGGTTTTGGCTCTAGAACTTAAACCTTACCTGTAGCCGAAAAGACCTGCTTTTCTTCTGGGTCCTAATTATGGTTTCGATATATATATATATACATATATATATATATATGTATATATGTATATATATATATATTCATATATATATATATATATGATTCCTTAAAAAGGTAGCTCTTTCCGGCTACAGGTTCCCAAGTCCTAGCAAAACCTACTTGACAGAGGCTTTATATAAGTTACATAAGGGGTAGTTCTCTAAACTGAGGTTCCTATTTTAAATCCCAAAAATAGTATGATTGGGGTTGAGGGTTTAGGGCTTAGGTTCTCTAAACTAAAGTCCAATTTCAGATCCCAAATATGGCACGGCACCCTTATAAAAAGGACCTTAAAAGGGTCCCTTGATTTGAAAACTACCCATAAGGGCGGAGCAAAGGTTTCACGAGGGTTGTTAACAAGGGCTTGGGCCTTTGTAAGGGCTTACTTGGGGTCTTTAATTAAAAGGCTTTAAAAGAACTTAATTCGGGTTGTAAGGCTGAAGAAGGGTCCCTACCAAGGACCCTGCATAAAGAGGGCTTAATGAATGCAGGAGCCTTTATGATTAGAATAAGGCTTTATAGGGCATGTTATACTGTAAACTTTTATAAGGAGCCCCCAAATTAGTGTTGGTAATAATTAGGCCCTGTATTAACCTGGGCTTGAAGCTTCACAATGGTTTAATGAGTGCTTGTCCAAGGCACCAGGGCTTCATCAGGGCATCAGCGCTCCAGAACAGGTTGCTTAGAGGGGAAGCTTCTGGAAGCCCAGGATCCCTTTTGGGCAAGTCCTTTCGTTGAGGAACTTGTAATACCGAGGGTCTGGATGTGGGCCTTCGTTTTTTTTCTGAAGTTGCTGCAACATGGCTATGGCCCTAAACCCTAAACCGTGGTACCGCTGGAATATTGGGGCTCGGGGGCTGTGAGTTTGCAGGCCAGGGACGGCCACAAAAGGATGTCCAGGCTGCTGGAAAGAGCGGACAGTGGCATCAGCAAGCCGCTCGATGTGCGGATGAAACCTTGTCGCGAAAGAAAGGCCCTAAAGCCTAACCCCCAAACCTGAACCGTACAAGAACCCTACACCACCCAAAACTCTATAATTACTCTGAACCCCGTGCCCAGCAGGTATTTTCAGCTCCCATGAACAGGGTCGAGGTCGGCGCTGACAGGACCAGACTTAAGACTTGCTCCTTATTAGAAGTATACTACTGTTGATGATATAGATCGTGCATTACCTTGAGGACCCTGACCTATGGGAATTATGGTATGTTCCTTAATTCTGGTAATGAAGGATGTTTGTCATCTGCCGTAAAATGGGTCCGAAACACCCTACATATTCTAAATTCTTAAAGCCCCTTTAGTGTTCGGGGCCCTATAAATCCTAGAAGCCGTTCCTTCTGGGTCCTTATTTCATGGCTCTTCCTCGGAATGCTAAACTGACAAAACTCGCCGAAGCAAAGCACAGGTCACCTCCAAAAAGGGATGCTAGTACTAATTGTTCCGATTCTTGCTCATTCCGGTATGGGACATATGGAGACTTGAATTCCACGGAGCCTCCCGCATTCCGGACTTAGGATTGTAGTTCAGTAGCTCTGTCCCAAAGGCTCCATGTACCTTTATAGTAGATACTTGGGCCTTAAAGGGGCCCCTATATAGGTACTTTAAGGCCTAAGTATCTACTATATGGGTACATGGAGCCTTAGGGTGTATGTTGGGCAGTATGCTCTTTCTGAACCCTAAACCCTAAACCCTATTCTGAGTACTTAGCAGGGTCAGTGCGGGAATCTTCCTCCCTCATCGTTGGGGGAGCCCTGTTAGGGTTTAGGGTTTAGGGTTTAGGGTTTAGGGTTTAGGGTGAACCTTCCCCCCTAAACCCTACCGTAGCTCCACAAAACCGGCCGTGCTAGGTTCCCTATTGCGATGCCCTTAAAGAAACGGGTTTTCGAGAGTTAAGGTAAATCCCTGCAGAGCCCTAACATAGGGGCGTTAATAGTTAGAATAGGGTTTTGGGGGCCCATTCTAGTACGAATAAATACAATAAGGAACCCCTTCAATAGTATTGGTAATTATTCAGGCCAATAAATATAATAAGGAACCCCTTCAATAGTATTGATAATTATCCAGCCCCCTACATTAAACCCTAAACTTTAAAACCTAAACCCTAAACCTACATTAAACCCTAAACCCTAAACCCTAAACCTAAACCCTAAACCCTAAACCTACATTAAACCCTAAATTCAATAACCCTAAACCCTAAACGCTAAACCTACATTAAACCCTAAATTCAATTGAAGAACCGCCGAGAAACTTCAGTACTCGCCAGAGTGGAGGGAGCCAACCAAGCCTTGGAATCTGAAGCCCGGGATTTAGGGTCTAGGGATTTAAGGTCTAGGGGTGTAGGGGTTTAGGGGTCTAGGGTTTAGTGGTTTAGGGGTTTAGGGGTTTAGGGGTTTGGGGGTTTGGGCATTTAAGGTTTAGGGGTCTAGGGGTTGAAGGTTTATAGGGGTTTGGGGGTTTTGGGGTTAAGGGATTTAAGGTTTGGGGATTTAAGGTTTAGGGGTTCAGGGTTTAGGGTTTAGGGATTTAAGGATTTAAGGCTTAGGGGTTTAGGGGTTTAGGGTTTAGGGGTTTAGGGTTTAAGGATTTAAGGTTTAGGGGTTTAGGGGCTTAGGGGTCTAGGGTTTAGGGATTGAAGGTTTAGGGGTCTAGGGGTTGAAGGTTTATAGGGGTTTAGGGATTTAAGGCTAAGGGGTTTAGGGGTTTAGGGATTTAAGGCTTATGAATTTAAGGGTTAGGGGTTTAGGGATTTAAGGCTAAGGGGTTTAGGGGTTTAGGGATTTAGGGTTTAGGAATTTAAGGGTTAGGGGTTTAGGGATTTAAGGTTAGGGGTTTAGGGGTTTAGGGAAGTAAGGTTTAGGGGTTTAGGGGTTTAGGGTTTAGGGATTTAGGGTTTAGGGATTTAGGGTTTAGGGAAGTAAGGTTTAGGGGTTTAGGGATTTAAGGTTTACAGTAGGGGTTTAGGGGTTTAGGGGTCTAGGGTTTAGGGATTGAAGGTTTAGGGTTTGGGCCAGTAGTGGTTAGTAGGTTTTTTTTTTATCAGCGTCTCATAATTTTTCATAAAGCTCGGAAAGGGTTCTATCCGGATCTATCCGGCTTGGGATGTGTTGTTCAAAGGTCTTCTACTGGGTTGTATATATGCTGGTATAATTATGCTTACCAGGGTTCTATGAGGATGTTAACCGGTTTGCTCTAGGTTCGGATGGTTGGTTAGCTTCAAGGAGTTGGTGTGTCATCTCTGGGCAAAGAGATTCGGGGAAAGAAGAACACGGGTTCAAGACAGATTTCTACCAGGGAAGTGCAGTTAGTTTTTTGCTGCGGTGGCATCTGGCTTCGGGATGTGGGGGCCGTAAGTTAGGTACCAAACCCCACTGGGAGTGTTGCATTTCGGGCTTGGGGTTCGGTTTAGTCACCCAAAAAATGCTTCGGTAGATTATAGGAGCCTCAGTATTTGGAAAAGGATGTTAAAGCATGCGAGCACAAGAAGGAACCTTTTGGAATAACATTGGTAGCTATTCCGGGTACAAAACAAACGCGTGCCCACCCAGATCTTCCAAACTCCCTCAATTAAGGAATTCAAGTAAAGGATTCTGAACCCTAAACCCCTAAACCCTGAACCCTAAACCCTAAACCCCTAAACCCCTAAACCCCTAAACCCCTAAACCCCTAAACCCTAAATCCCAAACCCCTAAACCGGATGGTTCCGGAAACCAAGCGGCTGGCCCCAGTGGAGCTTGAAGCGCGTTCTTTCAGGCCCCGACCAGAAGTACAACTGAAAGCCTCAATCTCTCGAGACGGCCCAGCGTAGGCTTAAGGGGCTGAGGGGTTTAGGGTTTAGGGTTTCGGATTTACGGGTTTAGGGGACTGGGGTTTACAAGAGGTTATAGAGTTCCAGGTTTTCTCCTGAATTTGGGGGGGGGGTTCCCATATGAAGAGGTCCTTTTGTTAACAGACCGGGGTCCAATTGAAGTGTTGCCTGAGGCCTAGGAGCCCCGAGCTCGAAACTCAAAGAACAGCATTAGGGTTTAGGGTTTAGGGTTTAGGGTTTAGGGTTTAGGGTTTAGGGTTTAGGGGATTCTGAGACAGGAACCGAGCCACCCAGCCGGCTGCCATACTTCAGTGCTTCTCGCATCTCACGCTCGAACTTCTCCCCATCCAGATGGACAGACGTATTCCTCAATCATTTCGAAACAGCTGCATGAGATTCGATTCTATCCTCCTGGCCGAACGCAGATAATCAATCTAAAGCCTTTTAAGACGACAAGTCATGCTGCCTAGGTGATGTCAGAAAGCAAGACGGCATAGATCAAACCCTAAACCCTAAACCCTAAACTCAACAGCAGAGCCCGACCCTGCCCGGAAACTACAAGCTTCACCCACCAACCTTGGGTTAAGGGCCGAGTTTAGGGGCCAATGTAGGGCCCTGAACAACTGGAATAGGGTTTTGGGGTATGATATACTGAAATGATAATAAGAAACTAGGGTTTTGGGGTATAATATACTGAAATTCTGATAAGAAACCCCCAAGAATAGTATGGGTCATTATTACGGCTCCTGTGTTATAGCTTGGGTGGTGTAAAAATGCTAGGGCTTCTACGGCTTGAGGATTCTCAGCCGCAAACGACAAGGACGAAACATAATTTGATGTAGGGGCCTGAATAATTAGAATAGGGGTTTGGAGTATATGATACTACTATAATAAAGAACTCTCAAAATAGTATAGGTAATTATTTTATAAGGTTCCTTTATCAGGTACTTCAGCTCTAAGACTGTGAGCTCCCATCGATGCCCACAACGGTTAGGGTTTAGGGCAAGTTTAGGGTTTGGGGTTTATGGTCTAGGGTTCAGGGCTCTGGGTTTAGGGCTTGAGGTTTAGGGTTTCGGGGTTCGAGGTTTGGCATAGAAACATACACGCACCGGTGTGATGGATAATCATGAGTCATACGACGCTGCATAAACCCTCACCCACGACCCTAAACCCCAGAATCATGGTTGTGACCGACGCTAAAACTATGCCCTTAATCCCAAACCTTGTAACATAGTAATGTAGGAACCTGATTCAGAAAACCTGCTTCTGCAACCTCAACACATCAGGATCCACATAAAGAGCCCTAATAAAGACCTAGAGTTTCTTCATCAGGTTCCCCTAAACCCTACACCCTATACCCCTAAACCCTAAACGCTAAACCCCTAAACCCCTAACCC